TGCTCAAACCTGATATGAAATGGAGTGAAGTTCAGGCAAGATTTTAAATGCATTTTGCAGTGCTATGGCTGTAACACTATGATTGGGACTCTCATAAAGAAGAGGAAAGTGATTTTATCTCAATTTCTAGTGTCTCTGTTTTATAGCCATTGAAGAGGAACAAAAAGTATGTAAACACTAGCATTTGAGGATTAAGTGACAACAAAGCCAGATATTGAATATTTCTGATTGCTAGTATATATTAACAATCAGTTCTGGTCCACCCTCAGACTGTCCCTCAGGCAGTGCCAATGCTCATTTATGTTGCCAGAAAAACACTGAAATAAAACACTAAAATATATTGGAAGCTGGGTTCAAGTTCTCATTTCTTGCCATGGCATTTGTTTTCATGTTTTCTTTCCTTGTGAGCTTGCAATGAGCCATTCCTTCTAGTTTTTACTGCACACTGACATAAATATAAATGGATATGCAACATTGACCCATTGGTAGAAATTTACTATAACTTTGTGTCAGATTTGCAATGGTGTGACTAGAATTATTTCTGCAGGAAATTTTCCACAGACACTTAAAACTTGGATCAATTAGATACTGTAAATAAGGTGAAGACATTAGTTTAATCAAAATATTCAAAAGCATTCATCAGCTGAAGATTTTAAGAAAAATGCTTTTTTTTCAAAAAAGGTTTTAAAAATATTCAAATAAAAACAAAAGGTGGCTATAAAAAAATGAAGAGGAAAACTAATAATACTAATGAATCTACAAATGAAAACTTTTTGTTTACTATGCATAGAAATATATTCCAATTGTGAGTATTTAGTAAAGTAGATATATTGTCAAATATTGGCCTGTATTGACTGTATTTGTGAAAACTACAGAGATTGCTTTGTTCATCAATATTTTACATCTGAAAATTTAGAATTTGACTAATAATGGACTATTATGAATCAAATTAATAATTTGTTCTTTGGTGATTGAGGTTTGCTACTGATGTTGTTGTGATATCTATTTCCCTTTTATTATATATTTATCAATAAAGTTAATTTTGGTGTCATCATTCTTTTCTTATTGTTCTTTTTACAGGATTACATTTATGACAATGCATGAATGAGATTTACTCACATAAACCCAATTTTTCTACCACATGGTTATTATTTTTCTAAAATCTTATATTTTAATTAGATGTGTTTTATATTCCTGTTAATTTTGTCTATTTTAACATTTTATATTTCTCAACTATAACAACATATTCATCACTTTTCTAGCTACTAGCTCAAGAACCAACCTACCTTACTTATTGGGTAGGCTGGTTTCTGCTTTCTGTTTGTTTTTCTTTTTTATCAAATGTACTTTATTTATTATTTATGTATGAAAGGCATGACTTAATAAAATATGAACATTCACTTCCCAGCTTTATTTTATATGTTCATTTGTTAGAAATTGAATTTTTTATCAATTGGCATCATTTTATTAGTTTAACGTATCAACAATTTAAGGTTATAAAAAATTTAAAATAATGATTATCTCATAAAAGTCAAATTAGTAGAATTATAATTTCTTAATTTGGATCAGTTCTGTATATTGATTATTCTATTTTTTGTCATTCTTCAAAATATTTTGCAACTGATTAGATTTTTTTGTTATTGTCGGATCAGTTTGAAAAGTCATGAGGTCGCAGTAAATAATGTTTAGGTAGCATCATCATAATTCAATGTCATGGAAATGTTCAGACCTTTATCAGTTATTCTCCAATATCTGGTACATCAGTATGAACACTGGCTAGACATCTCATGGCAAGATGACATGAATTATGAGTTCAAATGGAGCATATTGGTGTGAGACAAATGGGACATTCTATTTCTGTAATTGTGGGAATATTTGCCATCTCTCAATTTATGCTGTCATATGTGTACAAATAACACCCACTACAGAGAGTACAGTGGGTGAACTTAATGATCATGACCAGAATTATCTGGATAAAATTGTCTGCTGTAACTGACAAGTGACACTGGTTAATATCATATCCATGTTCAAGGCAGGAGGTACCAAACATATATCCAGCAGGTCTGTTCAGTGTTTTTTCACTTCCATGGGATACATGAAGAGAAGACCCATAAAAGTGTCCTTGTTAATACCATGACGCTAGATCCAGTATTCACTTGAACTTGTAACATTACTAATCTAACCCTAGAGGACTGGCAACATGTTCATGGTTCCAATAGTTTTGAGCTAAATGGTAAAATTTGGATGTAGCACAGACCCCAATGTCATGGACTCCATTTGCACCTATGTGACACCCTCTGGTGGTCACAGTGCCAATATGTGACATTTTCTGGTCCTGACGCCAATATGTGACACTGCGCTGTTGGCCTGTGGTCAACTCCCAGTTGCGGCGTGAAGCTGTAAGGTTTCTTCCACCAGTGTTTGGGGTTGACTCCTTGTCGCTGCCACCAGCCTGTGTCCCGGTCGATCTGGTCGTTCCCGGTTCAATACCAGCTTTGTCGTTCTCAGCTCAACTCCAATGTCTGGTTACTGAAGTAACTACTTTGATCTCAATTCTAACCTACCCACGTTGTGACTTTGATCTTAGGTAGACGAAATCAATCAGGCGTCGGGCCGTAGTGCAAGCTGAATCCAGGGTAACGCTGATATCGCACAAGCGTAAGTAAAACACACAATAAAACAAAACTCAAGAGGTTCAAATATGTTCAGAAATAACAAATTATCTTTATCCGTCTGTTATATACAGGAGTGTATTTCTCGCCCAGCCCGTTTCTATGGATTTGTGACACTTTTGTGTTTCTTAAGCGAGTTTTGGTATCTTAAACCGTTCGTCAATCTAACTTGCTTTCTTTTGGTAGGAAGGTGAAGTTGAAAGGATGTGGAATCTCTTGGTCAGCTTCTGCGAGGCAACACTCTGACTGTCTGGAACTGAACTCCAACTGAAACTGCCTGTAGACGTTTGTTTATATGGATACCAACCAAAACTTGATGTGGGGCCTGACGTGGTTTTAATTCCTCGATAATTCTCAATTCCCAACAAGAATTCTCTTTGTTCTTAGGCCAGGAAAATTAATTACTTCCCATTTTTGAAAGATTAATCACTTTCCATTTCGGGAGTTTCTCCCTTGTCAGTGAGGGAAGGTTGGAGGAGAGTTATCTTCCTAGACTCTTCCTCTCTCACATTGGTATCTCACCAATCCCCTCAGTGGGTGTTAACAACTTCTCCGCCTTTCTCATACATTCACCTCCGCCTATCACCCATGCTACCACTTGACCAATGATCTCTTGACAGTGGGGTGTGGCTAGACTGGCCCTCTTAAAATTATTTTCCAGAATTTTGTTTACAAAATCCTTTTTTTCTTTTTCCCATTGGCCAAAACATTTTTTTTTTCACAAACCCCAGATTGCCAAATAATTCTTATCACATCTTTTTTTGGGGGACGCCCAAAATTCACTTAGGTCTCTCTACCAACTCATCAATCACTGTCAAAACCCAACATCTGGCTTCTCCGCTAAGTCAACTTTTAACTGGGGGTCTGTGTTTACCTGAGAATCAAATTCTTTATTTTTCTCATGCCTTAAAATCCTCTTATCTCCAGATGCCCATTTTCGATGACGCTGTGTCTGATGTCAACAGTTTGAGAAAGTAATAATAATCATAATTTCCTCCACGATTTTCTTCCTCATGCCAAAATTCTAACACATACCAGAGGATTTCCCTTCGTTGGACCCAGAAATCAAAATTAAATGATATCTCTGAAAGATAACTAATATTGATTTTGTCTGCCTGTATCATGGTCGTCTCAAACCAAAAATTTTTTTATGACTGCCATGAGTTGGCTGGCTTTGTTTTTCTTTCTGAATTCTGTTTCCCTTGGTGCGACATTCCCTTATCATGACATTAATCAGTTTTGATAGAATCTCATATCTTCTTATGGATTTTCTGTCTCGTCTGAAAAGTATCTTTTTTTTTGTAAATAAAAATAAAGTCTTCTTTTTAACATCGCTCAGTCTATCTTTCGATATAGCTCTTTCTTGCCTTAAGTCTTTCCTGCTTTTAATTTCTATGGTTAATTAGTTAGCCAATTACCATAGCTAAATAGTGTCACACCTACAAATATCAAGGACTTGTGAATGGCTCTCAAGAAAGATGGATCCTGATTTCTTCTGACCAATTATATAATTGATGCTACATTGTTCTCTTCACTAGGCTAGACAGGGTTTTTACTAGGTACCTATCACATGACTTTTGTCATATCAATATATACTCTATTGCATCTAAAATTGTTATCTGTCTGAAATCAATTAATATATTGATTTTATTCATGCCTTTTATATAAACGAAAGAAGCAAACATGAAAATTATCTTCTCTTATTAAAAACATTCACATTTATTTCTTGAAATGAAACGATATTAGCACATCTGAACCAAGCTTGTGACAATATCACAAATATTTCACTTGAAGAGATAAAATATACTTTGTTACTGCTGAGGTGAAGAAGGTGATTTAATTATCTTGTTCACATCAGCGGTGACAAAATATATTATTTTCTGATATCTTCAAGGGAAATAAATAAAATATATCAACTAAAAATATATAAAAGATGATAATAAATTAAAAGAAAAGAAATTATATGTCCTCATCTGAAAACCCATTATATAATTTATTATTTTCTTTTTAAAGCTTTTTCTTCTTAAAGTTCATTTTTCTGGTTTTTGTACTGTTTTTTCATAATTCTTTACAATTCCAATAAGGACTTAAAAATCTTAGTTCTTACAAAGAGCTTCTTGACACAAATTTTTCATTTTATTTATATTTATTCACCTAAAATTGATTTTTTTCCATTGATGCACATTGTCATATTTTGTTAGCATTCATATTAATCAAAGATCAATTCTAAAAAATTAGATAAAATAAAAATTAATCTAAACTAATAATCATTGAATAATGAATGATGTTTAAGTACAAACATATGATAAATTTCAAAATGTTTCTTACAATATAGAGGTTTCTCAAGCTGGGTATGTTCAGGTGTTCAAGTGATTCAATTTTGTTTTCCTTTATTTCCAAAGTATGTAGTTTGGTCAGTAGGCTTCCATCAAGACCTTTAACATCTTCAATTTGATTATCTAGAAAGCAATATAAAGATTTAAAATTTAATGGTTCACATATGCATGAATTGTTTAAAATATGTAATATTTATGAAGGAATATGGTGAATATTAGGACTAAAAATGTTGTAAATCAACACTACACTGCACTTTCAAATTCAAAAATATAATGTGAAAGCTGCTAAAATAAGATATGAGAAAAAACAAATACCTACCTCTATTGAAAACAATTCTACTTCCTAAAGATACTTTAAGTGACTAGAATACTTGGAAAAATTAAGAAATAAATCCATAAATTTGAACCATCAGTAAAAACAAAAATTATAGAAGAACAAGAAAAATTTTTTTTTAAATTCTCAAAAGTAAAATTTACCTGGACTACAATCATATATATATATATATATATATATATATATATATATATAATACCAATTGGTAGGGATAATTCCAAGGAGAACATTAATCCAAAGAGAACTCAATGTAAGTAACAGAGCAATATAATAATAAGTAAAGAAAATCCTTAAAAATCATTTCGGTTATAATTTATTTCATGAATATATTTAAATATTTATCGCTTCAGACCAAAGGTTTTTTAGAAATTAAATTAATTTGTCCAGACAAAAGTAAAAAGGAGAGGAAAAAAGAAATCACAAGAAAAAGAAAAAAATTTTATAATGAAAAAGGAAGAAAGAAAAAGAAAAATTTCAATATAAAATTAATAAAAAATTCTTTATTTATCTCTTGATTTATTTAATTATTTAATTAATTTTTTATACTATTTAAATTTTTTATTTTTTTAACTTGCTTTATTTTACTGATGTTGGATATTATTAATATTATTATTATTAATAATTTGAAACTGTGATGATTATTACAAAGTGATGATGAGTTTTGCTGTCTGAAAATTCAGTCCTTTAAGAAAAAAATTGTTTCTAAGTTAACCTATCGGCTCATCTTTAATTCTTCCTTCTTTCCTTTCTTTTTTTTCCCTTCTCCTCTATCTCTCCCTTCCCCTCTTTCTTTCTTCCCTAATTTTTTTTTTTTTTTTGCAGTGGAGCTCCAAAGGCTGTCAACTTTCTGGCAACTCCTTCAGCCAAGCTGTTCACAAATATAATGCCTTGTATTCCTTTGGATCATGTCAGTATGGCTGTGAGGTGGGCCATCTAGTCTCGGCAGTGCATCATGTCTATATACCACTGCACAGACCTGCACCTTTGAGAGGATGCACCAGTCTCACCACCAAGGACTGAATTATCTCACTACGTTTATCCCACAAGATAAACAGAAAGCCTACTATATAGTCATTTCCATACAGGAAACATTCACTGAGCAAACAACACTACTGACAGTTGAGATTTATAAAATTTATTAAAACAGAAAACAAAACTTTCTCTTTTCAAGAATATAGGTTTCTCAAGTTCATTAACTGTTATTGCTCTTTCTAGTATTAATGAGTTTCCTTCCTAACCATTACTACTGTTGAAAGTCGGCGTCTTGATTATATCATTATTTCACATCTAATTAAATTTGCTATCAATTTTAGTTGCTGTTGCTGTTGGAAGTCTTTGAGCGATGTGGTTCTCATGATTTTTCAAAGTTCTTTGTGATTCTGTAGCACCAGTCTATAATATGTGATGATGTCTTCTTTAAAACCTAGAGGATTCAATTGCTTGAAGTCATTTTTAATCAATGATGTGAAAAACTTGTATATAGCTAACAGTTTAGACATTTCTGAATAAGTTGGTTGCTATACATGACATCCATATGAAAGTTTCAATATGACAGAGCATTTAATAGCATAACTTGAGTTATTTGATTAATATTTTGGTTTTGTAGCATATGACCATGGTAATATACCAGATCTAAGTAGATCCATTTTCATAGTATTGCCTAAGAAGCCAGGTGCAAACAAATATGAACTCTATCATATAATCAGCCTAATGAGCTGCATAAAGTGCATTCCCAAATCTGATGAATAGAGCACATAGGAGAATTAGAATGGAAATAAGGCAATACAAATGCAGGAGATTATATACTTATGTTTTATAGATTATTCAAATGCATTTGATAAGGTATGAGACATAGAACTGTTTGAACTGCTAGGTAAGTTTGATTTATTTGGGAACATTATTAGAATAATTCAGAACATACACTGTGAGCAAAGTGCCTACATATGAATAGAAAATAAATTCAGCAAATATACAAAAATAGAAAGGAGCAAAAACAGGGTGGAAAATATGATACTGAAATCGGAAGAAGTATTGAAATAGTGAAAGATGCCTAAAAAAAACTAAGCAAAGTATTAACAAATAGGAAAATTTCATGAGAAACAAATTAAATAGTACTGAACTGTTATGTAATATCAGACCACCTATAGGGCAGCGAATGCTGGATATCTCTTCATAGATATAGAAGAAACTTGAGGCAACAAAATTTGATATTACAGAAGGATGCTAGGAATACTATAGACTGAAAACAACAAACCTTAAGAGCTGCAAAGGACAAAACATTCTGAATTATTAAGATAGATTCAGAGTATGTATCATCATGTTTAACATGATATCTTTTTCTTTTTATTTAATATAAAACATTTTCATATGATTCTTTTTAGTTTATAGTAAAACAAAATAAAACAACTGAATAGAACTTATTACAAAAGGGGATAACAACTCTGAAAAATGTAATTGCAAGTAATTAGTACTATTTTAGTCCCTGTCACTTTTCTAATAGCAAGACGACCAAATTAAAACAAATAATTCTTATTTGAATATAATTTGTAAAATTGATCCATCCTTGAAAAAAGGAAGATATAAAAAAAATTCAATTATATATATATATATATATATATATATATATATATATATATATATATATGACAAACAAAAGTATTGGTAAAACTTGTAAATGTAACTAAAAGAAAAACACCAGAAAATGAAAACATGAAACCACAAAAGAAAATCCCAAGAACCAAATCAACAAAGAAACATCCCTGCAAGTATTTCTGGTCCGCAACTCTGAGGTTATATTATGCCATCTTTCGCCATCTTCTGGCCAGTTTGTATTGCCATAGATAATGGACAAAGATAATAATCTTGGTCTGTTTCTCATCAAAAATTAAAATAATCTTCTCATGTCAGTTACAATTAAAAGAAATTCAAGTAAATCAGTAAAAAAAAAAACACCTTTCTTTCTTCAATATTCATGGTATTCATACCAATTTCTGTAATGTAGAATCTTTTCCCTTGAAATGTTCTCCGGATATTACAGCACTTTGCAAAACTGTTTTAAACACTACCAATGACCTCTCTGTTTTAGGCTACCTTCCTTTCTGTTAAAAAGATTCTAGGATATATATGTATGGCCTCAGAATTTACTTCTAAGTCTTTCAATAGTTAGAGAATCATCTCTTGAGACACCAGATGACTTTGGACTTTCAATTTTTTCTGTTGCTCAATCTCTCAGTGAAATAGTTAATTTCCTTAATAATTTCTAATGATTCTGATCAACAGGTTTCTTTATGTGTTTTCTTCCTTACCCACATCCCTAGCTCTTGTTGAGCATTGCAAATCTGCCCTCTCTTCACTCAATTTAAGGTATTATCATCATCTATTGATAAAGCAGAATGATTTGCTGGTAAATCCTCTTCCAATTCTACTCTTGACTTATCTGGAGTATCTTTGACTAACATTCCAATAAAGAACTGAGTCTCTACTGTATCACCTCAAAGCATGTGGACTTGATGGTATCTTTTTAATAGTCCTTAAGAAATGTGCTTCTGAACTGGCTCCTGTTCTCTCTAAACTTTACAATAAATGCCTTGCTGCTTCTTGTTTTCCAGCTTGTTGGAAATTGTCTTCTGTAATTCCTGTCTTCATCACCCACAGGGCTGTGTAGGTGCTTTTGAACTCTATCAAGACAAACAAGTGAGAACTGGGCAGCACCAGCACAAATATTGCAGCAATACTCTATTTCTGGTCTGATCTGACTTTTCTAAAGATAAAGTATAATGGGGGAACACAGATACTTACTGGAGCCTCCTTGAGAGAACACCTATCCATTATGAGAGGTGAAGGTTTGGGGTCTGCTCAGTAGTGATAGAATGATTCCAGTTGGTTTTTGCCATAATGAATTTTACAAACTAGTCCCCATTGAGCCTCCTGGGATAGGTCAGAAGAGAGAGATTTTTGGAGGTGCACATATAGATTATTCACTAAGAATTGGTGTATGCTCTGAGGTCGATCATTAATATACAGTAGAAAGTGGGTAGGACTGAGGAGAGAACCTTGAGGAATGCCATTAGTGATCTTATGATCATCTGATGACTAGCTGTTAACAACAATATTCAGAAGCATACCTGTTAGGAAGGATCGGATAATTGAGGAAGCTGGAGAGGTTATGTAACATTCCCTGTTGTCACACCTATCAGCCTTTTAGGTTTCTACCTCTTTTTGGCAAAGTCCTAGAGGCTCTAATCAATGACTTGATTAAGCAACTCACCTTACAGGTTTTCTTTCAGATAAGTAATATGGCTTTCACTACTATAGGTCAATGGTTATTGCTGAAAGAGTCTATCAAGATTTCAATAATAGTGAAGCTGAAGCTGTTATTTTGGATATCTCAAAAGTATTTAATAGTTTAATAATCTGGTTTTCTTCACAAGTTGAAAGGTTATGGTATTTCCAAACAAATTTTTGATCTGATTCAATCTTTCTTATCAAATAAAAGTTGTAGTGAATGGTCACATTTCTAAATTTGTTTGCTTTAATTTGTGTGCCCCTAGGACATACGTTGTTCCTAATTTTCATCACTGTCCTTACAAATGTCATCAGTTCTCAACACAGTATCTACACTGATGACATTTACTCCTGTCTTAATGGTAAGTCTGATCAGTTTGATATAGTCAAATTGGGAATTAATTTAAAAAATTATGTTCAGTTTGTTGTTAACTGGAGCAAGAAATGGCCTGTAAATTTTAACACTTCCAAACAAAACTGTTCTCTTTTAATCATCTTTAAGAAC